TTGATTATTTCTAAGATTTAAAGAAGTCAATGATGTATTTACAACAAGTGCATTTGCTAATACTTTTCCTCCTTCCGAACCAAGTTGATTATCATAAAGATTTAAAGATGTTAATGTATTATTATTACAAAGTGCCTTTGCTAATGCTTTTCCACCCTCAGATCCAAGTTGATTATCTTCAAGATTCAAAGAAGTCAGATTAGTGTTCTTACAAAGCGCCTCTGCTAACGCTTTTACACCTTCAAATCTAAGAGGACTACATCGAAGATCTAAAGAAGTAAGAGTAAAGTTTTTGCAAAGTGCTTCTGCAAACATTTTTCCTTCTTCAAGATCAAATGGATTTTTAAAAAGGTTTAAAGATTTTAAAGAAGTATTTCTACAAAGAACCTCTATTAATATCTTTCTTCCCTCAGAATTAAAATGATTATTATTAAGATTTAAAGTTGTGACTGTAGTGTTTTCATAAAGATTTTCAAGCATTAATTTATTATGAATTATTCCTCGAAATTCTAAATATTTAAGTCTCTCACTTGTTCGTATAAACATTGCAATAAATGAACATTTAATCGCATCCACAAGCTTTTTATCTCTAAGATAATTTAAATGACATGGTTTATCCGCTCCACGAAGCCAATTTTTGATTCCAATACCTAAATAACTAGTGTTAACTGTTGTAGTATAACTTGTATATTCAAATAATGGTTTAGAATAATTTGGAATGATAAGTTTAAAAGGTTTTAATAATGCTTGTTCTTCAGCAGTTAATCTTGAAAGACATATTTTTAGGAGTCTTACATCGTCGAAATAACCTGATGGTTCACTCCATAATATCGGTACAATAATTCTACACCATTGACGATTTACAAGAAGGCATGAAAATAGGCTTCCATAATTAGTTCGAAGGTTATCAAATATTTCAAAAAGGCATTCATTTGGTAATGCTATCATTTTTTAAAAAAAGGATTAAAAAAAGTTCTGTGCGTATAACGATAAAAACAAAATTTTCTCTCAACCATATATATCATTCATATTAAATGTTGTGAAACGTTACTTTATTTAATCACTAAATTTAACATGTGGATATCTACGTAAAACGTTTTATGTACTAACCAGAATCGAATGATTTTTATTCGTTTCATTTAGACTTATCGAACGATGCAAAGATGACTGAATCCAATATCATGAGATGCGTGTCGTTTGCGTAGTTAATTAAGTACGTGCCGCATGTACTGTACGTACGCACGCACGCACGCACCAGTCACACGATTTGCAACATGCAAAATTTTGTATCATTTAAAACTTCATATCGATATGTAGATTTGTGTCAAATATGCTTCCCGGCCCTGGTCAGTGAAAAGGAGTTGTTGATTTAAGAATTTTCTTATTCTCTAGCATTAGGAGATTCTTATGGAATTTTAAGGTATATAGTTAAAATGAATAACCTCAATTCAATTTTTTATATTATTTATTTACTAATTTCCCACGAATTATTTTTGTTAAATAAGGTGTCACTAATAAGCCAACAATGTAAATTAATGAATTGTATAATCAAGATTATTTATTATCTTTCATTTTATTTTTATCTGTGAACTACTACTCAAAAATTTTAAAAATTAAATACTGTATAGTTTTAATGAACTTTTCACAATGAGTAATAGGTTATGGATGTTTAGATCTTATGTTACTTTGGTATGATAAGCTTTTGGAAAACACATACGTTTAAGAATATATATTTAATCTTTTCGTTTTTTGTATCGAGAGTTAAGTATAATTTTATTGGCTGATTGTCACATGTTAGTGCGCATAACCGCTGTGCAGGCTGAATATTTCGGAAGATCGGAATATTCAGGAAGCCATCGAAATTTAGCAATTTTTGGCCCGCATTAGCCATAATGCAGGCCCGTGCAGGCTGCGCAGTATTTTCAAAAAATCTTCGATTTGCCCATCCCTACGCATAACCAATCATAAGCAATTCAATTTCCAATCACCAGAAAGTTGGGCTATAGCATTGATTGGCTGCATTGGATCCAGATCCGGTTCTTTTGGGGTTTCAGGTCTAGGATAGGAGTATGATACAGTTATGAAGTTGTAAACAAATAAGTCAGATATTAGAATATCTGTTAAATTTAAATATGCGACGGATAGACAGATTCCATTTCTATATTAAGATAATACCCCATTTATCTGCGCAGCTGTATGGAGGCTCTGGCGTAATGATCCTATTTCGCGTATTAAAATGTAATTATCAGTAGCTTCATCTTTAGATACTCCATAACATGGGTAAAAGTGTAGGGCTCTTATTTCCAATATTAGAATATACTTTTTTGAAAGTTTTTTATATCTTTTGGTCCATGAAAGTGCAACAATGTCGTGTTAAGTATAACGTGAAACTGTGGAAACTGTGTGTATCCATTTTTAAAATAAACAGTTGCAAACCCCCCTGTTTCAATTTCTCAATTAAATTAATTTCAAGAAATGTTTTTAAAAATTCAGTAGTATCATGATTTTCAAAATTAATCGTCATTTGATTTTGTTATTTTTAGCTTTTTGCAGCCACTCAGCTGCATTGTCCTGATTAGTTGGCACAGACCAATTCTAAGTTGGCCATCAGGATTATCGTTTTCGGCAGATTTTAAAAACCATTCAAATGCCATTTTTCCATCATTTTTATCAGCGTAAAATAATCCAAGATTATATTGTGCACTAGAGTTACCACCTTTAGTATATTTCAAATACCATTCAAATACTTTCTTTTCATCCTTAGTGGTACCTATGCCATTTTTATAAAAGTATCCAAGATTGCATTGTCTATTCAAGATTACATTGCCTTTATGAATTACCACCAGCAGATTTTAAATGCCAATCAAATGCTTTCTTTTCATCCTTAGCAGTTACCTATGCCATTTTTATAACAGTATCCAATATTATATTGCCTTATGAATTGCCACCTTTAGCAGATTTCAAATACCATTAAATACTTTCTTTTCATCCTTAGCAGCACCTATACCATGGCAGTAGCAGAATCAAATATTACATTATCCTTTCGAATAATTACCACCTTCACAGATTTTAATACTTCTTTCATCCTTAAGATTACATTTCCTTGCAAAATTACCACCTTCAGCAGATTTTAAATACCATCCAAATGCTTTCTTTTTATCCTTAGCGATGTCTATGCCATTTTCATAACAGTATCCGAGGTTATATTGTTCTTGTGAATTACCACCTTCAGCAGACTTTAAACACCATATAAATACTTGTCGCAGCTGATGCTGAAATTTGGAGTCTCAATTTGAAAATATAAACCCTGCTAAGATTTACATATACTCTTTAATTATCAATTCTAGCCCTAAATCCTAACCTAACCCTAAAAAAAAAAGCGGGCAAAAACACCAAAAAAAATTTAAAATTTTAAATTTTCATATCAAAATAGGTCCGACTTTCAGCATCAGTCGTTTTCAGCATCAGCTGCGACAATGCTTTTTTTTCATCCTCAGCGGTGACTTTATCATATTTCAAAACAATAACCGAGATTACATTGTCCTTGTGAATTACCATCTTCGGCAGATTTTAAATACCAAACCAAATGCTTTCTTTTCATCTTTAGCAGTTTTTATACCATTTTTTTTAGCAGAACCCAAAATTACATTGTTCCCGTAAATCACCACCTTTAACAGATTTTGAATACCATTCAAATGCTTTCTTCGTTTTTAGCGGTGCCTATACCATTTTTATAGCAGCCACCGAGGTTACTTTGTCCTCGTGAATTAACATAGCCGATTTTAAATACCACTCAAATGCTTCCTTTTCATCTTTAATAGCACCTATACCATTTTCATAATAGTATCCAAGATTACATTGTTCTTGCAAATTATCACCACCAGTAATTTTCAAATACTATTTAAATGCTTTCTTTTCATCCGTAGCAGTACCTGTACTATTTCATAATAAATTCTAAAATTACATTGTCCTCGTGAATTACCACTTTTAGAAGATTTTAAGTACCGTTCAGGAACTTTTTTCTCATCTTTAATGGTACCAGTACCATATTGTAACATGTTCCGAGTTTATTTCGTCCTTCAAAATTACCTCCTTTACCAGATTTCGAATGTGACTTAGATTTAAAAGCCTTAAAGAATTTAATCACAGATGAGTTTATTAGATTAAAATAAACGTGAAATAATGCATTTCTAAGAATGTGGTAAAGGATTTAAAGAGGCTAATTTGTGTTCATCATATCACTCTATTAGGTAGCGCGCGCGCTCACAAAATTGTATCTCCCTGTACTACGATACATTAAACATTTACATTCCAAGCATAATATTTTTGTATTAGAACTTATTTAAAGCATATCTAACTTCACTAAAAGAGAGAGTATTAATAGATCTATTAATATTTAATGCATTTATCTGACAATGCCGAATTTTTTATATACGAGTGCGTGAGAGTGAAAACCTGGAAATATATTTAATGATTTACTATGATTGGTTACAAGTTTTCACTCTCACGCACCCATACAGTCAATTATAGATACAAAATTCCGTTATACAGCATATTTGTTATATAACGAAATAGACTTGACAAATATCAAATTACAATATATACCTAAACAGCCATTATATAGTAAAGTCGAAGTCGCAGTCATGGAACTGAACTCTGAGTGATCGTTAGTCGATGTATCATTATTAAATACACTATATGGATATGGGTTAGTAATTTAATAATAAGTTCAATACGTAGGCGGGCTGGCAAAAATATCTGTTATACATACAAAAGCAAAATTAATTAATAACCCGGTTGGGTCAAATTTTATAGCCGGGTAACTGGGTAAGTTTTTAACCAAGTTTTTATAAAATAATATTAATGTTTTTAAGTCATTATTTGTATTTTTTTTTGAAGATAAATGTATGCAAAGTTTTATTGAATATATATAAAAATAAACTATTCACATCAGAAAAAAAAAATCATTGAAATATGTTCATTAAACAAGATGAATTGTATTATTCATTTCTTCTTTTAAATACAAGGTCAATTGGAAATGCTTCAGTCATTCTCTTAAGTTTTAATCCGTCTTTATGTATACTATTAGGAGCCAATGATATTTCATATTTACGTACTAGAAAATCATAGTTTTCATGAATAAACAAAAATGTAAATTTTGGTAACAATTATTAATTAAAAATACTTACACAACAAACATAATACGATTTTTTGTTCAATGAGAGAAAAGTTATTTCCCAAGCACCTGTTAATTTAAGAAAAATATTTACATTATTATTAAATATTACATTTTTATCTTCAGGATAAAAAAAAATATATATATATATCAGTAACTAACATTCTAGAACCAGAACCAAAACCATAAAATCCTAAATTTTCTGGATATTCATTCTCAAATCTTTCCGGTATAAATTTTTCTGGATTTTTCCAAAGCTTTGGTGAATGATGTAATCCGTAAGTATATATCCCAATAGTTGTGCCAGCTGGAATCACATGATTTTTGCATTTTAAATCTTCAGTTAATTTACGGAATGCAAAGACTGGAACCTATTTATTTATATCAAACGACAATAATGAATAAAATTATAAAATATTTAAGAGTGAAAAATGCATAATAGTAATTGTATATATTCACCGATGGATACATCCTAAGGTTTTCGTAAACGACCGTATTTAAATATTTTAATGATTTCAGTTGTTCAGATGACGGAGCTAAAGAGTCTCCAATAATTTTTGTAACTTCCTCCCTAGCTTTTTGTTGGACATCCTATATAGATAGATATAGATAAGAAATTAAAAACTCTCGATTATTATATTCAATAGATTTCAAATAAGAGTAATAAATCAAATCTCACTTTGTGAACTGCCAAAAGATACAAAAGGGTTGACAAAGCATCCGCGGCTAAAATTGTATATAAGAAAATTATAATGTAAACATAATTAAAATTTCATAATTTTTTTAAATACTGAATATGAATGATAATTACTTGTTTCATGACCCGCAAACATAAAGACTGCTAAGTTATGCTATTGAGAATAAAATAAGAAATAGCAATAATTTTTAAATTCGACATTTAATTAATTAATTAATTAATTAATAAAAATTTAATATACTCTTAATTCGATATCTGATAAAGTCGGATTATTTTGATCTTCATAAGCTCTTATCATAAGTTCCAAAAGGTCACCATTAGATTCTCCAGCAGCAATAGTTTTATGTTTCTTTTTAATAATTTCATCAAACAAATTATCCAATTTCTCAATTGTTTTAAAAGCTCGATTTACCCAAAAAGGTATACGTTCCAATGGGAGAAAATTAGCAAATGGATTATGAATTAATCCTTGGAAAACATCGTTATAGGTTGTTACATAAATATTGTTCGGATTTTCAAGATTCTAATTAAATATATTGTTAGAATTGTTAGCATACAAGAAAATGATTAAATATAATTAAATATATATAAAAGAAAAACAATATTTACATTAAAATCAAAATCGAAAGCAGTTTTTCCAAGAGCATCTAAAGTAAACCTGTAAAATTTGGTTAAAATGTTTCGGTGAATGAGATAATTATATAAAATTACATCAATATACACATATAATGATTGAATCAATATTTATTACCTTTGCATGAGATTTTTAACTTCAATAGGTTTATTATCGATACGCTCTAAAACATTCAGTAACTTTAATCCAGTTTCATTAAAAAGATGTATGGGTAAAGTTTTAAATGCAGGATTACAGACACGTCTAAATAAAGTCACCTCGATTAGCAATTTCAAATAAAAATAAACACATTTGTAAATATGGAAAAATACGTACCTATATCTCTTCCAGACCTAGAAAAATAATCAAATTAGACATTGGAAAAGATTAGATAAATTATAAAAAGAACAATATCGCACTTACATCACCGTTTGAGTGAACAACATTGGCACCAAAATATCGTGAAAATATAGGTGAATATTCTTTAAGATCTATTTTTGGAAAGGTATCTACGAACCGATTTAAAAATTATCCAATTAGAAAATTAGAGAAAATTGAAAAATTAGAGAAAATTAAAAAATGATAAATAATATAAAGAGTATAGAATTATCACCTACCTGGTCGCAATAACATATCTTTTACGATTATTGGATCTGATATTAAACAAACCCATCTTCCCTTGATTCGAAGCTATAATACAATAAATTATTTTGATCAGAAAAAAAATTTTAGATTATATATATATATGGGCTAGGTGCTGAGAAAAGGGACAAAATTGACAATTTTTTCAAAGGATATTTTTTTACATAAATCAATTTAGAATAGAATTAGAATTATTTTTCACTTAAGACACAAAAGTAATTGTATTAATAAAA